TACTAGAGATCAAAAATAGCTGCTAAAGGACATAAAAGTTTACATGCCATCTGGCTATTAACAATTATAAATCTAATAAGTCTCCTCTGTGTAAGAGGTAAGGCATGGCAGATAGATAACCACAGTGTGTTAGGGGTTACAGGGCAGGGTGGAATATAATAGAAGAGAAAGGAGTAGAAAGTCAGATAAAGAACAGAAGTAGTGGTGATGGTGGTGATAGGTATGTTTTGTAGTGAAGAGTGTTTTAAAGATTCACTCAGATGTACTGTAAGTTATCTTTGCAATTAGGAAAATAATGAAAAACTGATTTTTGTTGAACTTATATATGCTAGGTATTCAGCCCTTCAGGTACATTAACTCAGTTTTGTCTTCACATAAGGTAAATTAAGTCATCCGCATTTAACATATGAGGAAATTAGGACTCGGAGAGGGGGAGTTTTTTACCTAAGGTTACACTATAGGTGGCAGAGCCTGGATGATTCAACCCTAGGTTTCTCTGATCTCCAACTTAATGATGGTAGGTGAGTAGGGGTAAGAGTCAAAAGGTGGGAGCAGTGTGCCATGGCATAGCTGTCATCCATATTCATAGTATGGCCCGAAAACAGCAGAAAGAAAAATAAGTTACATTCAGGACATTTAGTTTTGGAAGGTTGCATTTGCATTTGCATTTGCATTTAGGAATTTGTTCTTTTGTTAATAGAGATGAGTTCAGATAGAATTTCCATACTTTTTAGGTTAAACTTGGCATCAATTGATACAGCTTATTTCTTTTACTTTACCATAAATAATGCTCCTAAAGAAGCCAGGTTGAGCTAAATAAACTTTCTCAATAGAGAGCAGAATCATTAGTTGGCTGGATAAATGTTGCTTTCACTGTTGCTTGTTAGTGATTCTTCAGCAGAATTTAGTATATCCACATCATTACTTTTACAGCCCCTGCCTTACTCTGTCACTGAGTGCGGTCATTACAAGAAATTTTCTCCCAGTGGAAGTAGAACTATTTACTCCAACTAGAAGTTAGAGGTGGTGTCTTCCATATCGTTAAGATTGGTATTATCTTGGAATTTGTATTAAAACTTTAAAATTTGTGACCTAGAAATAGCAAGCCAATCTCCTTTTAATTGATATTGGCTGCCTGAAACACTATAGAAACGTTTGCAACCACTTTCTAGCTCTGTGAAAAAGATTACAATGATTAATTAGTAATGTCTTCCACAACCATGGGAAATGGAATAGCAGTACACAGGCATTCTATATTTGTAATCCCCATTTCACCAGTTGTCTTGGAAGATGTACTTTTTAAGACCAGACCTAGTCAATAGAAATGTAATGTAAGACAGATACGTAATTATGGCTAGTGGCCACCGGTTTTGATTTTGAAAGCAGTTATTTGTATCCCTAAGCATGTCTTGCCTTCTCCATAACCTACTCAGCATAGTGTTTATCGGGGAATCCCAGTTGGTTTCTGTGAGGACAGAATAGTTTATAGCCATATGTTCATGTTTTCCTATTTTATATTTGAAACACAAAATATAATAGAGATATTGTGAAGCTTACTTATGATCCTAGACTTGCATTCCTGCTTAATGGCTTTTGTTCCTGCCATGTAGGTCAGTTCTGACACAGTATAATGATATTTATTTATAAGGTTATCTTTAACCCACTGCTTTGTTTCAATTGCTTATTCTTTATCTGGGGTTAGGTTCTAGCATTGTGCCATTTTTTTTTTTTTTTTTTTTTTTTTTTA